GCAAGGAAGTAAGCACAAGATGCCGAACACCCTTAGCAGGATGCAGCGCACCCTTCATGCGACTCGCCGAATATCTCACGGCGCTTCGCGCTTAGTGATGTGAGAGCCTGGTCTGGTGAGAACCCGGCGTGCTCCGTCACGGCTTGGCAGGGATGCGAGGTCAATGTTCTAACAACTACGGCATGCACGACTATGAGTATGAGTACACCCCTCTTCCGCAATTCTGCGAATGCGCACGCTTGGAATAACGTGCGAACCCGCGTCACTTACCCCACATACGTTGGACGTGTAGATGGTAGACTCATCAGTAGTTGAAAATGTTTTTCATGAAGGCCAAGCATTCTAAGTAGACAGGATTGCGCTCAGCCTAAGGCGACGAGCGACGAACACTCACGCAAAAAACGAGCACAAGAGAGCTTTTTGCTCTTGTCGTTTGTAGCGGGAACGAGGCACATCAACCTCTGCGCCCGAGCTAAAAAAAAAAGGAAAAAATACACACATGAGCATACAAAAAAATAACGGTATAGCAGTGATGCTTCCTGTCCCTCCCCACGTATTTACACTCGACAGCCCTGCCACCGAATAACGACGCCCCGCCTCCCCCTGGAGCTAGCAGTGCAGCAACTTGCAAGCCTCCGCCGCAAAGGGTGCCCCGCTGTACTAGGGCGCAATTCTCTTCACGTTGCCCCGTTACCGTCGCGTCTCACTCTCTATCCTTGGCTGTCTAGCTCACACGGCCATTTTCATCTTGATGGTCTTGTAGGGCGAGTACCCCTTCACCTCCAAGTGCTTGTACTCGAAGGAGTCGATGTCGGTCTCGTCGGTATTGATGGACAGGGTCGGGAAGGGGCGGGGCTTGCGCTTGAGCTGCTCCCTGAGAGCGCCCACGTGGTTGACGTAGACGTGGGCGTCGCCGATGGTGTGGACGAAGTCTCCGGCCTTAAGCCCGCACGCCTAAGGGCAAGGAGCGGGACATCATGCGCGGTGCACGGGCAGACAGGTCAGGGTAGCGACGTGAAGGCAACTAGTGCAGCAGGAGGTGAAAGTAGCTGACAAGCTACATGTACATAACCGATGCACTAATCTGTGGGATGCGAGCAGTGCTTTCGAGCACCGGCAGACACAATGCAGACGGGAGCGAATGCAGAGGCGAGGGCTGATGTAATGCACACCACGGCTAGGCTACACGTCCACGACAACCACCCACGTTCAGCCGAATATGTCCAGGAAACGAAGGCGCAAAGAAGCGAACCCTGTCGAGCCCTGCTTTACCTAGCGTTTTACTTTGCCGGCAAACCCGAGTGCAACAAAGGGAGTCAATCCAAATGGGTAGCTCTGTATCTCTTGTCAGACGCCAAACCGCCATTCATGAACTAGACTGAATCTTGTCGATGGTAGAGAGCAACACTGCACTTCACTCGGGATCAAAACTCTTGAGGCTTGGCCCACAGGAGGAGCCCTCCTGCGTGGCCCTGGCTGGCGAGCCCAGACAGCATATCGAAACATGGTGTCCCACTTGCCCGACAAAACACGGACTGAAAACAATCAATTGAAAAATTATACTCTACTACAACAGCAGTAGATCGACTTCTTTCACGAGAAGACAAACAGTAACTGATCAAACTTACACGCACCCCCCCCCCCCCCCC